AATCTTGTTTAATTATCTGGTGAGACATATTTATAATGGAAATAAGATTCTTACATTCATCGAAGCATTTCTCTCCGCAACACTTTCGTCGTCTGTTGGAAATTGATAAATTTCAATTCCGTTGCTTACCAATTCGCTTATTATCTACAATACATCGATAATTAATTGTCAATAAAAAGTTACGTATTACATTTATATTTTAGTAAAAGTCAAGAAATTCATGAATTCTATAATTATATATTACGTTCTCCGGTGGATTTAATAATTAATAAATAATACGTCAAATAAGTCATTAACAAATACAATTATTTCAATCTGTTGTCGCGTCGAAGCTCTGCATTTTCTTCGTATAAAAAGTAATTAAAAATTACACAGAAACAATTAGCATTTTTAATTAATTCTCGATTCTACGAGACTGTTTTTTAGGGTCTATTAGGGTTTTGTTTATATACGGCAACCGGGCATTTGAGTCATACGCCCGGGAGGGATGGCTCCGGGGAGAACTTTCTACGGGGGAAACCTTAAGAAATTAGAGCCGATCTAAACTGGAAATCGTAATAAATTTTAAATTTCTTCGAAAATTCTTCAGTACTTTTAATGAAATATTTATTAATATTGTTCAAAGTTTAAAGAACGTACCTTGATTTTAAATTTTTGTAATTCGGTTTTTGAGACGATATCGGCTTTTGCTATTATAGGAATGATGTTGACTTTGCCGCTGAGTTCTTTCATGCACATCGCATCGACAGATTTTAACCTGAAAAATATAAATAAAATTCAAATAAGAAAAAATATAAATATTAGCAAAGTGATTGTTAATACCATTCGTATAATCAGAAAATATTTCATAATAATTTATATGACCACAACTGCCTTTCTCGTAATATAATTCCTTTGTGATAAATTTTACACGCGTGATTAATATCGTTAAACTTTAGTAACGAAAGGTAAAATTATCTTCCACTGTATTTTCCTAGAGTGAAGGAACAAACTTATAAACAACTCACCCGTGGCACGTGGGAACAATAAAATAAAGGCAGGCGTCGATGCGAGAATCGTGATAAGTATCCAAATTTCGTTTAATTTTCAATTCTTCTTGTAAATATGCCTCAAACTGAGCATCTATGTAATCGACAATTGGTTTATAACTGAAAATACATTGAAAATTAACTAATATTACAGACTCCAATTAATAATTAATATTGTTATTACTATAAACTATTCAGAAAAAAAATAACAACATTATTAAAGTTGTACCTGTGTTGTTTATTAATCTGATCTCCGTAACCAACTGTTTCCACCAAAGTTAATTTCAAGCACACGTCGGATTCTCGAAGCTCTACACAAATAACAATTGAGATTAAAACTCTGCAATTTCGTTCGAGATATTTGCTTTTATTTATTGTACTTATTATTAAATATAATCAGAAATGAATTTTGTACTAGATTAGGAACTACAAGTCGACCCCCCTATAACACTGTTGATTATTCCGTTTTATATGAATTCCACGTTGTACGAGTCACTTACATTTTACAAATACGTGAGCCGTTCACAGTCCGGCACACGTATTTGTAAAATCTAAGTGACTCGTAGAACATGCAATTCATATAAAACGGAATAATCAACAGTGTTATAGGGGGTCGACTGTATTTATAAATCTTTATAAAAATGGCTATAATTGGAATAAAAATATACAAATCGAGTAAAGTAGAAGCGGGGTAATCGTTGCGAATCTAAAATCAGCGGAATACCCAGGATTTTGAGAATCCGTACGCCTCTCAAAGAGGATTTGGAGGAACCGAGACACTCGCCCCCAGTTGTTTTTAGAAGAATGTTACGGGGATAGAAAAAAAGTAAAAAACAGAAAATTCAATCCACGATTTTAATTTACCGTAAGTTTTCGATCTTAATTTCACTCCCGGCAGATTGTGTGGACTTTCGGGAGACTCGAAAGAGGTGTTAAAAACAGTATCCATTAACGTCGATTTGCCGATACCCGTCTCGCCTAAAATTGGGATATTTAATTTGTAAATTTGACTATTAAGACATTAATTAATTTATTTAAGACCTACTCAAAAGGATATATTTCTTCATTTAAACTCACCGATACACAGTATGTTAAAAGTGAAGCCCCGATGGACGAACTTGTTGACCAGTTGATCGGGGAAAGCGTCAAATCCCACGTGTCCTTGTGGCTTCAATGTCCTTACATTTTCGCTTATTGGCTGGTGGACTCTCATTGTGTGTAGCGACTGCTTAATTTTCGGAAACAACAATGAGTATAAAACAATTAATACCACTAACCGACAATGCCACAAAAATTTTTACAGCGTATTATATAGAAAAAACATAGTTATAATTATTATGTGTTATGTTTATCGTGTCTTAGAAAATTTTACAAAAAAAAAAAAAATAATGCATTTTTATACGGAAGGAAGAATTTTCAATTAAAAGATTCATACTTGATCTTAGAGATAAATATTTATAATGTTAAATGACAAATGCGAGTATGGATTTGATATTCTATTCATTGGTTGCAACGAAGACCGGGTTAATTGATTATTCCGCTCTTTCAATTCCATCTAATTTCTCTCTCCTTTCTTTTCTTTTAAAATTCTTCCCTCCGTGGATGCAGAGTTCCTTTATAACGGTAGGTAGAGGAAAGGGTGCTCTCTACCTACTGTCACAGAAAATTTCTGATCATCCATCCGACTGGAAATCCTGGATCAATTCTGGGATCGAATACCGATTTCCTCCGAAGAATCGGCCACACGCAATTCGAGATCAAATCTCGAATTCCGTGCGGCCGAGTTCCGTCATCCAAGTCGTTATTTTACTAAAAGGATTATTCGAGAAGATGCAGACTCCGCTTCGAAGGAGAATCGCTGCAGAATCCTCTATACCTGCCGAACGGTTACCGAAGCAACCAATTTATACATTAATATTTTGATCCATTTATACCTCGTTTAATTTTAACGCCACGCATAAAGTCCATCTTATAAAATATCGATTATTATTATTATTATTAAAGATCTTTCTTAAAAATAAAATAATTTATAAATTGCGGAATAAAAAACATGGACGAACTGAAAAAATTTTTTAGTCCGAAACGTTTTCTGGAACGTCGCCCCGATGCGTCGTGAATGTGTTCCACGTCCTAAATAAAATAAAATGCCATTGCTGCGAAGAAAAATCAAAAATAGGGGGAAAAAATTAAATACCGTAATTGCGAATAATTACATTCATTTTAACAGGAAAGTGAAATTAATTTAATATGCAATAAATAAAATTGAAAAATTAATTATGTCAGTACAGTAGTCTATTTATGTATTTAGGAAAATTAAATACCCGTTCGCTTTTTGTTGTTTATTATTATTTTAAATTAATTCTTAAAGAAATTTTTAGCACTAAAATAATTCCTTCGGCATATTTACTGCTATAACGCTATTAGAATTTCGTGTTGGCTACCGAGACATTCAATTGTTAATAATAAAGATTATTTTGCCATTCGGTTGAAATACTTACGCTTCTACTCTGCAAATCGCTCAGTTTTCTGTGAAAATTTTGTTAAATTAGGCAAAAAGAGAAGATATTTTTCGAACCGACGAAGCTTTAGAAGATTCGAATTTATTTCGAAGAACGTTAAGTCGCTCGCTGATCGCCCGAAACGTTCGAAAGATTTCAAATAATGTAAAGAAAATGAACTTCGACTCTGTTTTAAACGCCAATCTATAACAAAAATCTGAAAATATACCAAATGACGTAGGTAGTATTTATATGAAAAATGTTATTTTAACTATGTACTGATTAATGCCACGATTATTTTTCAATTGCAATTGGCAACACTTATTGAAAATAAGTTACAGTCGACCCCCTATAACACTGTTGATTTTTCCGTTTTATATGAATTCCATGTTGTACGAGTCATTTAGATTTTACAAATACGTGTTCCGGGCTGTGAACGGCTCACGTATTTGTAATATCTAAGTGACTCGTACAACATGGAATTCTTATAAAACGGAATTATCAACAGTGTTATAGGGGGGTCGACTGTATTTATTCACCGGTATATAAAATTACGTGTCCCGACTGACTGGGCTCTTGGCGCGAAATTCAACCGCCATCTTGGTGTGCTCATTTCGTTCCTCGATTTCAGTGATTTAAATTAATCAATCTCGAGAAGGAGGTTAGTTAGATGACAAGCACGACCCTATTGAAGGTCGTTATTTAAAGGAAAAGTATAAAGTACAAGGGCTAGCCACTACTAATTTGAGGTGGAGAGCACACATTTTAAATTAAATAAATTAAAAACATAATTAAAAATTGCAGCCTGCCATTGTGACGACGTCACAATAAATAGTAAAAGTTTATCCTCCCATATTATAATAAATTAGATTGTATAGCCATACACGTCACTGTGTGATCTGTGTTGTTATATGATCCAACTTGTATTACATAGTCTGAAAGTAAAAAATCAAACAGAGGTTTTATATCTTAATTAACTCACAGTATATCTACACAGTAAGCAGAAATTTAGGTCGCATTGTACGTTATTCCAGAATCTATTCTAAATTAATTAGTTTTCAATTAAATATTTTATTGCAGTTAGCACATATTACAATCAAATAATAATTTACTTCTAGTGACAAAAATATAAAAATTACAACGTTTACCTTATATTCAATTTAGAATCAGCTTATTGATATATTGATATCTACAAATTCACTCACACAGCTTTGTTTGATGTTAAATATTTCTGCATTTACATGAATTCTAAAATAAATACAATAAAAAATAATACCACAATTTAAAAATGTATGAAAATGCTTCACATTGGTCACTAACTGCAATTCAAAAATTGTAAGTGGACATATAAACAGTTACAGATAGAAAATTTTTTAAAAGAATTATTCTAGTTATTTTGAAGCAAATTCATCATTCATTTAAAATAAAACATTAAAAGTAATTTTTCTAAATAAATAAAAAATAATAATTCGATTTATTAGGACAGATCTTTTATATATTATTGTTTATTATTATTACAGTAGAGTCTCGAAAACTCGGCCTAATGTGGACTGAAGGGTGGCCGAGTTTGTGAAAATGCCGGGTTATCGGAAATGGGGTTAAAAAAGGATAAGTATGCATGTTTCTTCAGAAAATACTGTACTGTACTTGTATGTATTGTTTGCTTGAGAATACAACAGACAATAAACTGCCCAAATACCCTTAAACAAAGGAAAAGTACATACTTTATGAAGGCATAGAGCCTTTACTACATGAAAATAAAAATTAATGAATACACTGTGTACAGTAATTTACCTGATNCCGACCGTAATTGCTGCTAGATTGTCCGCTACTCCCGTAGTGGTCTTCTAATAATCAAAACTCGGGATCACCAAGCCGCAGAGGCGGCTCTTCGTATTCTCGATATTGCCGGGAGTCTCGTAAAAAACACTCGTAAAAAAAGGTTTTTCGTGGATTGTTATAAAAATATAAAGTTATGATTAAAAAAAAAAGCTGAAGCATGCAATTACAAAAAATAATTCAATAATGAATTTTTTTTATATAACTAAAAGCAATTCATTGCACATTCTTGCATTATTATTCAATGTGTATTACCTATATTTCTATGTATAATGACTAAAAATTATCTTAAATTATTACCATAATGGGTTTATATTTTCAAATGGGACTTTCTTTTCTTCCATCCATGTCAGAAACTGATCATTTATTTTCTTTGCCATTTTTAACAGAGCCAAAGCGTCACCTTCGGCTGCATGTGAATCGGGTTGAGGACAATTAAAAAAATATTCGTACAGGCTGCTTAATTTGTAAGACATTTTTACCTTTGTTTTTGATGGAGTTTTTTTATCAACAGAAGTATTCTGTTTAACATCTGGATAATTAGTAAGTAGCTGTTTTCTGACTGAACGTTCTGTTTTACATAATTTCTGATCCTCCGAGATTTGTCGCATGTCTGCAGATTTTTTACATATTTCATTAGATGGAGTTCTTTTGAGAAAGTCTATATTATCTTTAACAATATTGTCATCTTTGTCATTGTTACATTTATTATCCAAATGTACATTTGTAAGAGCATCAGTAAGATATTCAATTTGATTTGATTCTTCATTCCTTGCTGAAGGAGATTCAATTTTAATGTGTATTTTAGAAAGAATGGACCTGAAGGCAGGTAAGGTGTCTGCACAAAACATGAATCCAGAAATATCCATTTCAGAATTGTTAAATTCTGCTCTTAAAAGAGGAAAATCAAATCTATTACCATTATGAGCTAAAATACAAATAGGTTTATTTAATCTTTTAAGGAATAATTTTATTAATTCAGCACTGTTTATAAATGTTTCTTGAAACTGAAGTAATGAATCGGTTAAACCTGAAATTATATAAAATGTAAGTGTTATAAATTCAATTACTCAAAACTGGAAATATGTTAATAAACACTGCACAAGTAACCAATATCCAGAAAGAAGAAATTACAAGAAAGCAAATGTTTTTCAGCCATGTTTAATGGGCATTGTCAGGCTAACTACTTGCATTCTTAGAATTTCTTCTTGCTGGATAATAGTTATTTGTGCAGTGTTTAGAAGTGTTATATTTACAAAATTTTTCAATATAACTATATAAAAATTTGGAAAACTTCTTTTAAACTCCAAAGCGTTCCGAGTTTAAAAGACATCTATGACACTAGCAGAAAGATATGAAATGATATTCTACAAAAACATAGAGGAAGCAGGATAATTTGGAAAATTATCAAATATTAACAATTATGCTAAAAATCTAGTTGTAATCAATAAACTCAATTACAACTGGAGATTTGGAGTATAATTAATGTGGTGATCGTTATAACTTACTAATGTACTGTACTTGCTAATACGTTACCTGTCAATTTTTCAGCACCGGATGAAATACGACAACTTGGTCTAAAGAAGAGGTTTAATTTATTAATGACACGAATGTTTTCATTATTGCTTTCAAATTCTCTTCTGTCAACAGCTAGAAGTGATAATTCTGTGATTTGTACATTTCTTTTGCCTATCAAATGTGAAAGTCCAGTAGTTTCAGTATCAAAAAATACCAGAGTCTGTATCTTCACGTCACCTGCTGAAGCCATCTTCGTTACAAATTCTTAACACACTGAAAAATATAAACTGTTTTCAATTTTATATACAGGAAGATTATTTTTATTATTCAAGACAGCTATATAATGGGAAAGTCAAAGTTTAGAAAAATAATATTTAAACTGGATAGAAATTTTTAGTCATATACTAAATAATCATTTAAATGTAACTATATTGAATACTAAATATTCTTGTTTTTCCTGTTTACTAAGTATCAGCTGATTTATTATATTTAAAACTGCATGAAACAAAAGGCTTAGAGCAGTGGTTATCATATGTTTTGTACTACCACCAATGTTCCCTCTAAGCTGCGCGGCCGCGCACTGCTCAAATTGTTGCCGCGCACGAGAATTTATGTGCCGCGCAGGCGAGTATGCACACTCTGTCTGCAACATGATTATTTCTACGTATATTTCGATTAAACACATTAAATCATTGACAAGAGATAATAATTTGTATAAAAGTATGTGTTTAAATGAATTTTAATCTCTACTTTATAATTAGTTATTTTAATTTTTATAGAAAAAAATAAGATTTTGTATATATATGCTCAGAAATTTTTTCTTGCTCAGAGAAATGTATGTTCCGCTCATCGACAAAAAAAATTAGAGGGAACATTGACTACCACCTCTTTTCATTGCATATATTTCATTAGAACTCCCATAAAATCAGTCACTGTACACTGAAAATTAACATTAATAAAAACTTTATAAACAAACTCAAGGCCAGTGATTCTTGATTCTCAACTTTTCAAATCCTTTAAGAATCAGTCTTACACAAGGTGAAAGCAGCATCTTCTATTCAATAAGAAAGATATATAGGTTTATATTTTTAAGAAATTACCAATGATGACCAATTGCTTACTTTCCAGGAATGCAAAAACATTACTATTCCTTCACTACACTTTGTCACTTCAATTGCAATTAGTGGACTGCAATTTTTTGATTGCAGGCCTATACATTCCCACTCAATCTAACCGTCTTTCATTAATCTTGTGAACAGAGTTGGATTAACATCAAGACCAGATATGGAAAGCTTAGTATGACAAGCATATATGTATATTATTGAAAGCTTAGTAAGCAGATATGTTTATTATTGTGATACCAACACAACAATATACATCCAATTTTTATTAAATAGTATTTGCTCAAGATCATTTATTAGAGTTAAATTTGTTTTGGAAAAAATAAATAACAATATTTTTAAGTATCTAAGTTTCTAAAATTCAACAGTATTATACAAATAAGACAAGCTATGCTCTGTAAAATATGTAATCTGGATATCATATACAGATGAACAGAATACTTTGCTCACTAAATGCTTCCTAGTTCTGGAGCACATTAAACTGCCGGGGTTGCTATTAGAATAATTGTTAATTATACGTGTAACATATGAACATCATTACTGAATTTAGTTTTATGTAGCAACATTTAATCTTTATCAGACCATCAGAAGTCAGAGAACACAAAAAAGACAGGCATTCAAACAAAGTTATGTTGGAATGTTTTTGAATAGACATTCCAACATAACTTTGTTAAGTATTTAGTGGAAGCCCTTACTTCCCAGTTCTCAAATTTTCTATAAGAATCCATCCTATTGTATACGAACAAAAGTTAAAGGAGTAGCAAGTTTTTCTGGCGAAAGTTCTCCATCAACTATGCCTTTCACCAATCACAACAACCATCAGTACAAAGGAAAGCAGATATAAAAGGCCAGCAGACCTCCACAGACACTTGGTTAGTTACTATAGTTTAACTTTAATTGAAACAATCAAATCAATTCTTGCCAATTTATTACACTTATAATGCAAATATTCCTGTATATTTCTTTCATCAAATAAACGTCTCGCAACAAGTATACTAATAAATACTTTATTAAGATGGACAGATATAAAATATCATTTTCTCTGGTGTCAGACTGTGCCACATAATGCCAATCACAGCAAAAAATATCAAGAAATCTAACGGCGACCAATGTGACTTACACATTTGAAATCTATTTAAATAATGTAGCACACACGTTTTGCGCGATTACATCTTACCAATTAAAAATACAAGCAATTGAAAAACTTAAGTAATTACATGTTGTAAGACACGCTACCATCATTTCGACGCCATGTTAGTGAGGAAGTTGTACTACCGGGAAAGCACGGTTTCGTCAATAATATATTACGTTTTCATTACTTTCTACGATTGTTGGGAATTATTGTAAACGTAATGTACATTCTCTTAACGTAGGCAAACAAATTTTAGAGTCAACGCACGTTGTAAGTAGTCGCGCTCCCGTTTCAAACATGGCGTCCAAATGATGGTTTCATTTGTTTAACATACATATCGTTTTCAGTTATAAAAGACATAAAGCTATTCAAAATAAAACAATTTACATACATTAGGTTCAAATCGGACACAATTATAATTTCTTATCATATATTTGAGGCTAAACGTCACACACTTACTTCGTGTACTTTACAGTACGTCACGTGAAACGCGCATTACTAAAACAGCTGGAACAAAGTCGGTTGGACCGAAACCGAAACCGAAAGTTTCGAGTGTTGCCAGCTTTACAGTTAATGGTCAAAACAATTTCTTTTGTTATGCTCGAAATTAAATACGAAGAATACACGTGATAACCGTGAATTATTTATAATATAGGCTTACAATAACAATTAAAAATGCGTTTTGCAAAAAAATATGCAATAATAAAAATTGCATATTGAAGATATCAAACATTATCAACATAATAAATAGTGAAAATTCGCCCAGAAACCAATTTAAGATCGCCGGTGTCGTATATAGAATGTCATGTACTGTACATGTGGAAGCCCAAATTATTACATTGGAGAAACCGGAAGAAGATTGGAATTGAGAGTAAAGGAACATGAGGCGGCCATTAGACTGAGAAGAACGGAATCAGCATGGTTTTTACATTGTAGAGAATTTAATTGTAATATAAATATAAAAAATACTAAAATATTGTATAAAATAGAAAATAATTTAGAAAGGAAAATTATAGAACATTTTTGTATCGCCGAACATGTAAATTTGCTTAATTTCAATGCTGGAATGATTGTTAATGCATGCTGAAAACGGCTGTTAGGTATAAAACGTAACCAACGAATAACATCTTGATGTATCCACTGAGGAGGCCTAAATGGCGAAATGCATATGGATAAATTTAATAAAGTGATGATATCTTTTTGCCATTTGTTTGTCTTGTTTTGGCTCATAGAATCCTCGAAGTCGGAAATAGAAGGAGTATAATTTTTACTTGTTTTTTAACTAACAATTTTTATTTTTAGTGTATTAATATTATCACCGATCCCATTGGTTTTAATAATTGAATTTATATTCTTTACTAATTTCACGTGCATTATGATCTATTCATTATTATTCGCGGAGTTAGACCTTATCTTAAAAGTAGAAGGAAGCATTTTAGCGTGTGTCCTCTTAACGGGATGTATCGTTGTGTCTTTTCTTCTTTCGAAAGCTTCGTCAATGCTAAAGTTTCTGAGAATATTATATTACTTGTAAAACGTAGCGTATTTAATAATTAAAGCTATGGTTTAATTAATTAACGTCAGGTAGATAATAAGGACTTATCACACCAGTGATAATAACCACAAACACCCAGGTATCAATGGAGTACATTTAATAAAAACATGAAGATCGATTACATCAGCAATTAACATGAAATAACCAAAATGCATTTCGGACTAGCGAAATAATCCCTCTTCAGTTGGTGTATATATATAAAAAAAGGCTATAATGTTTAAAATTACACAAGACAAAAAACCGTTACAAAGTATGATCATTGAACAATAAATGGGTGTAAAGAAGACAGGCTTAAAGGCGGCTTCCGAATGTTACACGGCAGCTTGGCGTAAGGGTTACTATTATAAACAGTATTAAAATTAGCGGAATAATAAGGTAATTGTTTTACAAAATAAGTTATATCTTGATACCATAACAGTAGTAAGGTGAAGTTTGAAGGTGGTAAGGATGCAGAGCAGTTACGAGGGAGGTGTGGTACAGGCAACATGTGGAGAACGAGTGTTGACTAACATCTTAATGGCAAACCTTCATTCCATTACCTCTTTAAACCGGATGTCAGTGTTAAGTCTATAGATTTCATCATTTAATAGATGAGGGTCTGTGCTCAGATATCGACCGGGATCTATACACACACCGAAATCTTAATTAACACCACGAATGCAATTAATTGGAGTAAATTCTATAATATTACGTCATTGTCATTTTTGATTTATACGATTATCTTTTATGCAGTTATACAGCGATTTTATTGGAATCGACGAGATTGCGGCAGCGAATCTTCAATTGCAATTCAAATTCAAGCTTCGTTATCGTATTTTTTAGTATTAAAATGTTTTATATTTTGTAAATATATTTTCAGATTTTGAATTTTATGAAACGATTCGGCATTTCTGTCGTGGGTTTCTTCTTCGTAAAAAAGAATTTTACTATTAAAGTTTGGGAAAGTTCTTATAAATTACACTTGGACATTGAAATTTAAACCTAACGTTTCATTGTTATAACACAATTTTGCTTAAATATTATTTCATTAGCATATTTCTCTATTGTATTCAAATGAAATATAATTATTATTTCCCTTGGTGTTTCACGTGGTTCGATTTTCTCGACGCTTAAGAATGTAAATAAAAAGAAATTGTGTGTGTCAATATCGACTACTACAGAAAATCCTTTCAACACTTCTCTCTTATAACCGTTCAATACAATTTTATAAAAGTTTATGATAATTATGTAAATTTCATAATGTAATATACTTTAAACGAGCAATTATTTATTGACATGGCTACAAATTTTACTCTTTGCCTTAATATTTCTACAATTTCTACATTTCACATCACTGGACTTGGTCTCCTTTGCAACTTTGTCCTCCATATTTCACAGCAAATAACACTTTGATAATTCTTTTCTTTTTTGCAAAACTCGGCTTACTAATAATAGTAATAATAATCTGTTTGGTTAATAAGAAAGGTTTTACATTAAAATTATAAACGGTTAAATACGCCCACCAGCGGGTTACACGCACTGGCCTTTATTCGTTATATATATAACTAAAGAAGTATTACAAACTTACAATATTTCTACTGTAACATTTATTAAAAAGGACAAGTATTATTGTAATGTCACACCAGTACATCCCACAATATTAATTATGTTGTATTATCTGATACTAATGTAAATCTATGGCCATTCCATCCGAGATATTTATTAATTTTTCAATAAAATGTTCTTTAAATTTTCTTATACTCCATACATTATGTAGTATTTCAATGTTATTATACAATAATAACTTTATGAATGTTGAAATTTTGGTGAATTTAATGATATTAATTAATTTTTCAAATGTTTTTCACCAATATAGATTCTAGGGTTATTACAATTGCATTCAACTTTATATACTGTCTTTTCTTTCTTAAAATTATTATATTAAACTATTTTAATATACAGTAAGACCCCGCTTAACGCTGATTTAATATAACATGGCACTTCATTAATTCGTATATAATACGATTATTTTCAAACACGAACCAATTGGCAAAAGGTGGCATTTCGTACTTTCCTTAAATCTGTTTTGTGCAATTTTGAAAAAAGTACGAGGTCTGTTGAAAAAGTATCGGACCTTTGGTCGGCAAAAACAAATTTATTGATTTTGAGGTACAAAACCCTAATCCCCTTCAAAGTAGTCTCCTTGGTAATGTATACATTTTTCCCAGCATACCTGCCATTGCTGGAAACACTGCTGGAACGCATATTTTGGAATGGCCATCAGCCGGTCCGTCGGATTACGCACGATGTTGTCTCTCGACTAAATTCGGGTTCTTTTTAGTGGCATTTTCAGCTTGAGAAATAGCCAAAGGTCACACTGAGCCATGTGGGGAGAGTGCGGAGCGTGACGAACCACAGGAGTATTGTGTTTGGCGACGAAAGCCCGAATCAGATGTCAAAATGGGCGGATGCGTTATCACGATGGAGCTGCCAAGTTTTGATCGACCACAGATCCGGTCGTTTGCGTCATACTGTATCGGAAAGACGACGAAGGACCTCCTGGTAGTACTCCTTTGCGATGGTTTGGCCTTGTGGTGCGTACTCACAACACACCACTCCACGAGAGTCGAAAAAACTGTCAACATGATTTTTGATATTGCTGCGGACCTGCCGCGCCTTTTTTGGCCTCGAGGATCGTCCCCGAAAGCCTGCTGAATCTTGCGAATGGTTTACGCTTGGGTATCGCCAACGTTTTTGGCAAAATTTGATGTAATATCACTGCTCACGTTGTTCAGTCATTTTCCAGCTTAGTGGAATCCGACGAGAGCGCTCTACATGACATCACTCATAGGCCGATTGCCAACGACTGACGCTTCCTGCAGGCGGGAAAAAATTCAGAGCTGTGCATGACTGTCCCCTCCACAACTCCACCGAAGGAGGCCTCTCGCGCATCATTGGTTTACGCGGAAAGAAAACAGACCTTGTATAACATCATGGTTGCCATATGAAATATCGACTTGGCTTGACAAGAATTAACTGATAAATGCATGAACGAAATGTGGAAGAAGTTGTGGCTGAAGGTATCCAAGAATTCTCATCGAGAAGAGCCTATCGCTGTATCTTTAGGTTGACAAAATGGTTAACTTAATCGATACAGGAGATGTAGACGAGCAGGATATCGGGGAGTTACTGCAGGTTTCTGGTAAGAGCCTTACCAACAATAATTTCAAGAACTAGCAGAACAAGGAATTCATGTAGAACTTGAAAATAGATATTCTGAAACGAAGAACGCAAAGAACTTACTACACATTTCTTTAGTAAAAGTTTGGTAACGATAACCGAAACCATTGATCAAATTGTAGCGAATGATTCAGATTTTGAAAGGGGTGCAAGAGCAAAACGAGGTGTTTTTCATGTGATCTTCCGCTACCGACATTTGCTTATGGAAAGAAAAAAAAGCGACAAATGAAACTACACGAGTTTATCGCGAAAAACAAGAATTTCAGATAAGCTTTTCTGAAATTCTTGAAATGAAATTTACATTTTACAAAAAATAAACTTTACATTTTTGTGTGCATATGTTTACGTGTTATTTAACATACAGTAGACCCCTTATAACGCGGGTTCATATAATGCGGATTCGTATATCGCGGCGAAAAAATTGCGACCGTATTCGTATAAAGACACTAAAAGAGACTCGTAAAATGCGGTAAATCGTCATCGCCGACTCGTGTCGCGACAGGATTGGTCGAATCTGGACCAATAGTGGATGAGCAGCCGAACTACTTACACGCTACGGAGAGTT